TTTCTTTTCTTTTCTTTTCTTTTCTTTCTTTCTTCCTTTCTTCCTTTCTCTCTTCCTTTCTTTCTTTTTTTTTTTTTTGAGGCAAGGTACCACCATGTAGCCCTGCCTATCCTGGAACATGCTAAGTAGATCAACCTAGCCTCAAACTCACAGAGATCCCTCTGCCTCTGCTTCTGCCTCCTGAGTGCCGGGGTTAACAGACCGGGCCCACCATACCCTACAGGCCAATCTTTCAGAAGCATTTTCTCAGTTGTAGTTCCCCCTTCTCAAATAACTCTAGCTTGTGTCAAGTTTGACAATAAATAAATAAATAAATAAATAAATAAATAAATAAATAACAAAAAACAAAAACAAACAAAAAACACAACAACAAAACCTAACCAAGACAGTCGCCATCACTGTCCCCACCAACAGCATCATCAAAACCCATCTCATCACCATCATCACCACCACCATTATGACAGACCCATTTTCCCCAGAAAGAGACTCTCCAATGGCTGCCACAAGCCGGTGGGTGTTCACTTGAGGCTACTCCTGGGCTCTGCTCACACCTGGGGCAGTGGGGTAAAGATGCAGAACCGGACAGAGAGGAGAAACAGGCATGGGGTAGCCCACCCAAGGCCCCAGTCTCCCTGGCCGGGTGCTCTAGGCCTGATATTCCTCGTGTTGTCATCAGGACCAATGTCTCCAACAGTCCCTCCGCTGCTTCATGCTGTTTCCCCCCCACACCCCCACACCCCACACCCCCACACCCCGAGACTTCTAGTTCACACGCGGAGTCCATAAGACCCCGATGACTAAGCTGCTGGAATCCCCGGCATCCTCCAAACTTGCTGTCCAGGGGTCAAGGTCTTGCTGAGAACATCTTGCCCCGCCCCCACGTGTCCTCCAGCTCTCGGCTCCCACTCCCTTTCCCACAACAGTAGGGTCCCTCAAGAGCACTCCCCGTCCGTGCGGGGGTGGGGGGGTGACTTGGCCATCCTCCGGCTTGAGCCTCCTCCCGAGCTCCTCCGGACTTCAGGGAAGGACATTATGTGACTCTGTGGTTTTGGTCCAGCTACCTAAGCTAGGACCCTAGGGGACAGCCTGTGCCTGTGCTATGTGAGAGCTGCCAGGGGACTCCATTTGCTCAGTAATGCTACAGGACTGGTTTCCGGTGCTGAAAGGGCACATGGCACCCCAGTGCCAGGAACCACCTTCCCTAGCGCTCCCCAAAACTACTGCCCCCTCAAATGGGTCTCACTTTAAAAAAAAAAAAAAAAAAACCTGCCACCTGAGAGCCGAGAGCCGCCTTGGCACCAGACTGGCTCCCAGCAGCCACAGCTCACATGATAACAGGCCTGG